GTAAGTATTCACCGTGCGTGAATCATTCGCGTCGAATATCTAGATTTACCGATACAACGAACGACTCGCCGTTTAAATAACCTTCACTGATACATTACCCCCGAGTCAGAGTGATGAAATTTCAGAGATACGCAATGATAGTTGAGATCAGAAGAGGGCAGAAATTATTCTTTTATCGCTGTAGAGAAATTTGTAATTCTTACGCAACCCACGTTATATCGAAATGCAAACTGTACAATGAGAAATTTATTCGAGGAAAGATCAGAAGCAGAGACTGCATGGGCGAAGACTTACGCCGACGACTCTGCGCACGTACGTAAGAATGGAGCGAGCAAGAAACGAAACGACGAATGCGAACGAATGAATGTAAAAGAAAAAAAAAAAGAAAAAAAGAAAAAAAGAGAACGTGAGTGGAAAAATTACCTTGACGACGCCCTCGTCGGGTACGTATTGCACCCTCTGCGACACGATGCTCGGCGGCGCCCGGATGTAGACATTCGCGTAGCCCGTCAGCTCCGGAAAACCGGGTACGTGTGCCTTGCAAAAGTACCGTCCGGCTGTCTCGTGGTTCACCACCACGCTGATATTCGGCGTGCTGGCGACTTGTCGCTCCGAGTCCTCGTGGTACCAGCGGATCTCCGGCGTTGGGTTTCCGTCGACGTCGCACTGCAAGATCTCCGTCGCGCCGTACTGCGTCTCCACGGAGACTGGCTGGTGCCGGAACTGCGGCCCGTCTATGAAATTTCATTTTCGCCTCGTTTCTTAGATTCTTCTAGATTGACACGTCACGCAGCGAAGAAGAGGAAGAAGAAAGAGGGGGAAAAAAAAATCTCTCTCTTTCATTCGCGATTACTAACGAGTCTACTGGTGGTACGGCCGCAGCGGATATCGCGTGACGCTTGGAAATTAAAAATCGACGAGTCACGAGTGAAGCATCGAGAGCCATAATAATTTGTCAGACGTGAAGTAGCATTGAAATTTGACGGACTGCAACGAAAGATTAGAAAATCGTAAAGAAGAGGAAAGTCTGCGATCTATAACTCGTGGCTTGTCCCTTTTTCTTTTTTTGAAAGATGTGATGTTCACACGGTACTGCCACTGGTGAGGGCGAGATCCATAAATCGAGAATACCGTCCGTGAAGAATACCATATTCTCCGAAAAAATATGCCGGTAAATTCTCTCACTAAGAAGTCCAATTTATCCTCAGCTTTGGCTTTTGACAAGCGTTATCCGGAATTTTGCTGATGCCCGCCGACCGGATCTCGGCTAAATAACACGACGAAACGACGTCGAAGTACCCTTCCAGATGAACGAATGGGATAAAGAGTGGCCGAGTCAGCGAATACTAAACGCGCGATCTCTTCCGTGGAAAAGCAACGTACGTCGAAACGTAATTCTTACGGTACGAACCCCCCTTCCCCCTCCCCCCACACATACACATCGTCACCGTTTGAGAGAGACCGATTGTTCTCGTTCCCTCCTTCACCTCGTTCGCATACTCACACGTGATATCCAGAGTCTCGGTGTCCTCGCTTTTTCCAACGTCGTTGTGAACCTCGCATTTCACGATCGCGTCGTGAAGATCGCGAGTCGCGTTGTGGATGATCATCTCCGTGGTGTAGTCGCCGATCACCTTCTTCTCGTTGATGAACCACCTAAGGAGTAAGAAGGATAGACGGCTTGATGAGCGTGTAATTGCTGCATAATTTGCTGCAGTGGCAGCTTTTTATCGGCTGCCCCGGTAAAAAAAAGCTGCCGCTGCTGGTCGATCGGCTCGACGAGAAAAGAAAAAAAAAAGAAAAAAAAGAAAAGAAAAGTCCCGAGGATAATTATACATTTTTGAAAATTCCTCGGAGCTTCTTTCACTTCTTCTTCTTCTTCTACCTCCGATTCGATTCGCTCTGCGATTTCCCTCTTTCTTCCGACCGATCGTCTTTCGCGGAGTCTCGCGATACTCGAGCCACGCTCGAGCATTTCTCCCTTTCATTTCTCAGACTCGATCGATACGATACGAGTTTTCAATTCGGACCACAAACGACGAAGAAGAAGATAACCTCGCGTGCAGACATTAGCGGCGCGAGTCCTTTAGGAACGATTCCCCTCCCTCGAAAGATCGTGGTTACATAGTAGTTCGATCTCTCGCGACTCGAGATTTATTTATCGTATCCGCGTGGTACAATCGGCGAAAAGAGGAACGATCGGCTCGGATAGCAATAAACGAATCGGGGCCACGGACGGCCGGATCCCCTTTCAACCGGCCGAATCGCGTGCAGACATACGTTATCAAAGAACCGGGAGAAACTGAATGAAACGATCGCGAAACTTTCGTGGCTCGTGTATCTTGCGAGGAGAGATGCCCGTTTCCTCGCTGCTTTCCCAGTAGGTCACGTTCCTAGCCTCATCCGAGTTCCAGTCGTTAATAGCGCACGTTTCTCGAGCGTCTCGCCGCGTGACTCTTTACCCCGAGGTTTTTATTATTTTCGCGAAATTACACGTCGTAGAAACTTCCGTCGTAAACGTCCCGAACAGCTGTTCCGTGGTTCTGCCCGGCTTTTACGGTTTCGATTTCACGCGAGCGAACCCTCAGTGAATCGACGTCTCGCCGAGAGTTACGTGTGTACTACCTAAATTAAACCATCCAAAGTCTGCTCGTGGTGTTTTCGTTTCGTTGCTCGACTAACGATACGAGCCGATACACAGCGAAAGGCAAGTCGCGTTCACACCGGGGCTAATTCGCTTTCTCACCTTTCGTTTTCCGTCTCGCGATTCCCGTTTTGTCTTTGAAGATTTATCGCTCGAGAAACGGCCTGTGACTGACGCGCAAATTCATGCACGAGCCGTACACAAGCGCGTACAGAGGGATCGCAAAGCCATCGAAACGGGCAACAAGACAACGCGTAACGGAACGCATGACCGGCCGACATTGTCCTAAACTTTGCATTGTCCCCTGTTTGGGACGAACATCAATTATTTGCTTGCCACGTGTCACGGCCGATTGCTTGCTAATTCTTCCTTTGTTTGCACGCGTGTCGATAAAGCCACGTCTCTTCCTCCTGTTCGCGTTTTCTTTCTGTTTTCTTTTTTTTTTTTTGACCACCGTTGGAAACACGCGAATTAAGCGTGCTATGATCAATCTAAAATTTTGAAACTCTTCCCGTGAAAATTACTTTGTGCACTAGCAATAAGTAAAATGAAAGCACTGCACTCTGGGTGTTTTATATTTTATTCGAGCAACGTGCAATTCTCCGTTTAGAAAATTTTCTATAAATAACGTGGTAACCCCACGGCCGAATTGAAGTTGATCAGAAATAGTTCGTAATGAAACTTAGCGAATTGAAATATCTTCCTGACTCGAGTAATCCCGTTTTAGCCTACACATTTTTACCTCCGTTCTTTATTCCCGGTTTTTATTAGACGACGTTCTCGTAAAGCACGGCGGATCAAAATGCACGGAAAGACGAAAAAGTTGCTCCTCGAATCGGAAGGAAAGTGGATGGAACAAACGTCGCGGTTTTTGTAAATCTTCCAAAGGAGGCCAATCTTGATTATCGATCGATCTCTGTCGCTTGTCGGCTTGTCGATTAATTACATGGGAAAGCTCGCCGATCCCGACCGGTGTTCTCGTCCATGGAAAAATTTCCACGCGCTGTTTGACGTTCTCTCGAATGATCGTTGAAGCTGATGTACTCGGCGGTCGTTACCGAATGACGAATACAATAGCCCCTATGATGCTATTACAACCCTGTTTCGTGTTCCATTTGCCGCTATTTGAGTTTATATTCTATTCGAAAACTATGACGCGGAACTACCGAACAATTTCGAACTACACCGTTTCACGTTTTCCATCGAAACTCGCCGAGTTCCGAGGTTCGCGATAGAGTGTTTGCTCTATCGAGGTAGGAAACGCAGCGGATAATTAAAGTGCCGCCAAGAGCGAATATCCAAACAGATGGAAAATCTATCTTGTCCTTCGACTTCTCCAAAGTTTTTAACGCATCGTCGGCCGCTGTCATGTACGCGTGA